GGGATTTACCCGGGCCTGTCAGCTGCAAGGATTGGCTGTGACCACTGACCACCGACCACCAACCTGTGTGCCCTCTGTGGAGGATCAGCTATGCAGGGGCGGGGGGGGGTGGTGCTCTGATGTGGTCTGTAGTTGTCTACTGGGTGTGCTGGCCCTGGGGTTTCTCAGGTGGTGCAGGCCAAGGTCAGCCCCCATCTGTGTTTTATCCTGTGCTTTATCTGGGTTCACCCCACCTGAGCTATAAAACAATCTGAGATGGCAGCTGATAGTGCTGGGTCTGGGGCTCAGCAAGGCCAGCTGTTGCTTGTTTGATAGGATTTAGGAAGTTATGAAGCATGGTCCAAGATCAGCCATTCATATGGAAAATCAGCTTGGGTGGGCCAGTAAGTTGGGTGGGGCAGAGTCTCAGGGTATCTCCAAGGCGGGTCAAACAATGTTAGTCAGGTTGATGGAGTCCCAGATACGGTACCAGCTTGCCAGCTCTGTCGAGGAAGGTTTAGAAAAGGAACAATGGCTTCTGCTCTCCTCGATACCAAATGCTTCGGTTTCTCCCTGGATACTACTAGTGCTTTTCAAGCTGCTAACCCAGTGCTGGAGCTCAGAGAAAGTGAGTCTGATAGGTTCATCCATGTATGAGGTTTTGTTTTGTTTTTTTTTTTAAAGATTTTATTTATTTATCTTTAGAGAGAGAGGAAGGGAGGGAGAAAAGAGGGAGAGAAAAATGGATGCTTGAGAGATACATCAATCAGTTGCCTCTTGCACAGCCCCAACTGGGGACCTGGCCCACGACCCAGCCGTGTGCCCTGACTGGGTATTGAAACAGTGACCTTTCGGTTTGCAAGCTGGCACTCAATCCTCTGAGCCACACCAGCCAGGGCTGTGTATATGTTCTTTAAGAGGAGGTACTTGGGGCTCCAGAAGTTTCTTCCACTGACTCAGTCCCCCACTGGTTTTTGCAGCCAGGAGTTGTGGGGGCTTATCTTCCTGGAACTGGAACCCTGGGCTGCGGGGCCTGGTGTGGGGCTTTCAATTTTCGCTCCTGAGATATCCTTCCTGAATTTTTATCCACCACACGTGGGCGAGAGACCAGCCTGTTCTGTGTCTGCACCCTCCTACCAGTCTAGATGGATGTGGTTTCTTTAATTCTGTAGTTGTCAAACTTTCATTCAGCTTGATTTCTGACAATTCTGAGTAATGGGTGTGCTATATTTTAGTTGTAATTTTGCTGTGGTTGTGCGAAAAGGCAAGCCATGTCTGCCTACCCCTCCATCTTGACCAGAAGTCTAGAAGAGACTTTTTAAAAAAGTCCTTTATATTTACAATAAAAATACTAAATTTTGTCCTGGCCAATGTGGCTGAGTTGGTTGAGGGTTCGATTCCTGGTCATGACTACTCTAGCTGTAATAAATCCAAAGAGCCTCTTTGCTTTAACTTGTTAACATTCCCAGGATTTTATAAAACTCATAATCAGAAATGTTTATAGAGACAATGACCTTCTGCTGAAGAGTTTCAATTTTAGTATTCAACCAAGACAGAATAAACAAGAATACTAACTGTAAGCAGTTCGTTTTTGATAACACCATTGTATTACTCAGGGTTCTCCATAGAAGCAGATCCAATAAAATAAGGAAGAGAGGCAGAGAAAGAGAATTTATTTTAAGAAATTGGCTCACATGATTGTGGGGCTGGCAGTTCTGAAATACACAGGGCAGGCTGCTGGCAGGCTGGAGCCCCAGGGAAGAAAAAAGGTTGCATTTCAAGTCTGAAGGTTGTATGGAAGCAGACTTCCTTCTTCCTTCAGATACCTCAGTCTTTTAAGGCTTTCAGCTCATTGGATGAAGCTCCCCCATATTATGCAAAATAATCCTTTTTATTCAAAATTTACTATTTAAATGTTAATAACATATTAAAAAATACATTTGCAGCAACACCTAGACTGGTGTTTGACCAAAACCTGGGTACCGCAGCCTAGCAAGTTGACACAAATAATTAATTATCACAACTATCAATATTCTTTTTTTTTTTAAAGATTCTATTTTTATTTATTTTGAGAGAGGGAGGAAAGAAGGGAGAAAGAGAGGAAGAAAAACATCAGTGAGCAGCAGAAACATCAATCAGTTGCCTCTTGCACACCCCCTACTGAGGACATGGCCCACCACCCAAGCATGTGCCCTGACCAGAAATTGAACCAGTGACCTTTTAGTTTGCCGAGGTTTGCAGGACGATGCCCAAACCATGGTGCCACACCAGTCAGGGCAATGCTCTTTTTTTAAAAAGTACATTTTATTGATTATGCTATTACAGTTTTCCCAATTTTTCTCCTTTGCCTTCCTCCACCCAGTAACCCCGATTCCTTCTGGTAATACTCCCCTTAGTTCATGTCCATGTTTCATGCATATAAATTCTTTGCTACTCCATTTGCTATACTGTTCTTAGCGTCCCCCTTCCTATTCTGCACCTAACAATTTGTACTTATTAATCCCTGCACCTTTCCCCCCATTCTCCCTCTTCCTCATCCCAGCTGGTAACCATCCAAATGAGCTCCATATCCATGATTCTGTTTCTGTTCTGTTTGTTTGCTTAATTTGTTTTTTAGATTCAATTGTTGAGAGTTGTGAATGTATTGCCATTTTAATATTCATCATTTTGATCTTCTTCTGTCTCTTATATAATTCCCTTTAATATTTCATATAATAATGGCTTGGTGATGATAAACTCCTTTAGCCTTACCTTGTGTGGGAAGCACTCTATCTGCCCTTCAATGCTAAATGATACCTTTTCTGGGTAGAGTAATCTAGGTTGTAGGTCCTTCCTTACTTTTCATCACTTTGAATACTTCTTGCCAGTCCCTTCTAGCCTGCAAAGTTTCTTTTCAGGAAACTTCTGACAGTCTGATGGGAACTCCTTTGTAGTTAACTCTCTGCTTTTCTCTTGATGCTCTCAAGATTCTCTCTTTATCTTTAACCTTTAACATTTTAATTGGGATGTGTCTTGGAGTGGGCCTCTTTGAATACATCTTATTTGGGATTCTCTGTGTTTCCTGGACTTGTATGTGTATTTCCTTCACCAAATTAAGGAAGTTTTCTTTCATTATTTTTTCAAATAAGTTTTCAATTTCTTGCTCTTTCTCTCTATTACCAGCACTCCTATGATTCAAATGTCAGTGCATTCGAAGTTGTCTCAGAGCCTCCTTACCCTATCTTCATTTTTTTGGACTCTTTTCCTTCTTGCTGTCCTGATTAAATGTTTTTTTTTTCTTCCTTGTGTTTCAAATCATTGATTTGATTCTTGGCTTATTCCATTCCCCTCTTGATTTCCTGTAAGTTTTTCTTTATGTCACTTAGTGTAACCTTCATTTCTGCCTGGGTCTTTTTTATGCTGTTGAAGTACCCAATGAATTCCTTGAGCATCCTAATAACTAGTGTTTTGAACTCTGTCTCTGATAGATTGCCTATCTCCATTTTGCTTAGTTCTTTTTCTAGAGTTTTGTTCTGTTCTTTAATTTGGATCATATTTCTTTGTCTCTTTATTTTGGCAGCCTCCCTGTGTTTGTTTCTATGTATTAGGTAAGGCTGCTTTAACTCCCTGTCTTATTAGTGTGGCTATTGTAGAAAAGTGAACCTGTAAGTTGGATTGAAGCAGAGCCTTAGGTAATCACCATGGTGGGGCAACCAGTGTGAACTAGGTTGATGGAGTCTCAGATCTGTTGTCTCTAATCTGTGTCTCTTTGTGGGGGAGGGCTCAGAAATGGGACAATGGCTGCCACCTGGCCTGTGAAGTTTTTTCTGGGATGAAGCTGTCCCCTGGCACTTTCCCTGATGCCAGACATATAGTTACTTCCTGGTACCATGGGTGCCCTTCCAGCTATTGCCCCAGTGCAATAGAGGACCTAGAGGGCATGAGTCTATGTAAGTCCTAAGTCTGCTGTGGGCCCTTTAAGGGAAGATGCCTGAGAATCCTGCAGTTTCTTCAGCCACCCCAACACCTGCTGGTTTTTACAGCCAGAAATTATGGGGACTTATCTCCTGGTACTAGAACCCTGAGCTGGGTGGACTGGTATGAGGCTGGGATCCCTCACTCCCAAGATATCCCTCTCAATTTCTATCCACCACACACAGGTATGGGACTGTATGTTTTACGTCTCCATATTTCTGTCTCTCTGTCTCTGCCCCTCCTACTCATCTGAATGACTGTGACTTCTTTAATTCCTTGGTTGCTGGACTTCTATACAGCTCAATATTCTGATGATCCTGGGTGATAGTTATTTTGTATTTTAGTTGTAATTTTTGTTGTGGCTGTGTGAGTAGACGAGCTGTGTTTATCCATGCCTCCATCTTGACCGGAAGTCTAGGGCAATATTCTTTGTTATCCCAGTTATTACAGCTACAATTCATTCAGCCAATTTGTCTCTCCCTGAAACAAATCAAGCCAGTCCTTCATCAAGCTGTGTGCAAGATTTCTGTGTGCTAAAAACTATATGATATATCTGTTGGCCTGTGTTTTCTTTGGCCTTACATATTACTCAGCAGTAGTTGATAGAGTTTTTTAAAAAAAATATATGAACTGTTTGGCTTCTACTCCCTTGGGCTGCGTATTTTCTGTTCACAAACACTTCCCAGAGACACCACAGCATTATGTGCTATCACCTTCCACCAGCGTGCATCTCTCATCGATGAAAGTATCCCAGTAGCTTTGATAGATAAGTAATTGCAATCCTTTTGTTTATAAATCTGTGTCTTGTATTAAACATTCATGGCATCTATACAGAGAACAAAAATACACAAAGTACTCCACCTCTAATTAAAGTTTAATCATGATCTGATAGCAGGGGCTTAGACAGAGCCCAGGGTAGCAACTGTGTGGTATGATCACCTTGCTGGTCAAAAGTAGGGGCAGCACTATTCAGCTGGCCACCTGTGCCAGCCACTGCTTCTCTACTGCCAGACCTCCCTCCCGTCTTCACAACTTCCTTCTTCCAGTTCCTTACATCATATCATTAAATGGCTATGGAGGTCTCAGACCGTGAACAAAGCTCCCAAGAGCTGGATTTGGAGGAGATAACTAGGAAAATTTCATTTCTTGACAAATGGAGGGAAATCTTTAGTTGTCACAGGTAAGATGTTCTCATTTTCTTATTTTCCTAGAACAGTGGGATTTTAAGTGTTTAAGTAGCTTTTGTGTATGCTACATGAGAAGTCTCCATTATAGATTTACATTAAAAACATGGCAGTTCTAACTACTTTCAGAAGAAGACTTCCCTAGCAAGGTTGGAGTTGAGGAAGTTTGTGGATGTGAGGGTTGAATAGAGTGAGTCATTTTCTTGATGTTTTCTTTTTCATTTTTAGGTTGGGAACCAATAATACAACTTCTCAGGTAATTACTCTTCTCAAAGACAATGTGTTTTCCTCTAGTTGTTTCTTCAAACAACCATGTTAACAGCAAAATCTGCACTTATTCTATGCACATAATGTCACCTAGGCACCTGGCATTTAACATGTGAAAACACAAAACTAGAAAGCCTGTTGAAGATCTTTTCTTGTGCTTTCTTTTTTCATAAAAATCTCTTCCTACTTTTCATCATTAAGAGCACCATATGGTTATTATTTTAGAAAAAAGTAATATTAGAATCTAGAGTTCCTACACTTGTGAAACAAGGCTATATTCTGACAACACGGTGCTTCAGTGTCCCTGAAGAAAAATAGTTTTGAAAATACTTATCTTTATTCAGCTTCTGAGAAATTGTTTTCTTTCACCATTTTCAAAGGAGAGAAAGATGACTGTATTCTGGTGTTGAAAAGGTATTTTAAAATCTGTTATACAATATAAGGTGAAAAATGTTTGTATCACATGTCATCTGAAAAGGTTAGAAGCTAATATACTGTATTTCAGATTTTACTTCAATCATTGAACACAGCTGAAAATATTAAGGTGATTTTCAGTAGTGTATGATATGATCAAACAATTGAATTATTATTTTTTTATTTTATGATTTCCTTTTTATTTATTTTTAAAGAAGGGGGAAGGAGGGGAGAAAGAGAGAGAAAGAAACATCGACATGTGAGAGAAACATCAATTGGTTGCCTCTCACACACCCCCAACTGGGGACCTGGCCTGCAACCCAGTGCCCTGACTGGGAATCGAACCAGTGACCTTTAAGGTCGCAGGCCAGTGCTCAATCAACTGAGCCACACAAACCAGGGTGAATTACTAATATTTTAACTGTTACACTAAAGCATCTTGCCCCAAGTGATCTGTGATCAAAAGCCTTATTTGTGCTACTCTTTTAGCATAGTCTAAATTAGAACCAGGGAGACGATGACTCTAGTTTAGTCCTGGAAGTATTAAATGGAGATAGCTACCATTTGAGGGAATAGAATACTCAAATGATAAAACAATCTTCAAATAAATAAATAAATAAATAAATAAATAATTGTACGTCAAGTTTTGCCTCACACACAGGTGGGGGAAACCCGCTGGCACAAAGGGAAAGATTTTCCATGTGATTTACAAAATGTGTCTTATCCCATCAGTAGTCTGTAACTTGGATGCTGTGTTTCTGAGATAAGAGAGCATCTTCACCTCTAGGAATCCAGAAACACTAAAAAGGCAGTTTTCTTCATGCTTCAGCTATCAATAGGGCAGATTTGTTTCATGACATCAATGTAGAAGCTAAGGAAATTGGAAGAATCGTTGATGCTAACTTATATTTAAATGCCATAAAATCAATCAAGAAAAATAAAAATAGATGTTTTTCTTTAAAGATAGGGGGTGATTTTTTTTAAAGAAACAAACCATACTCACTTGTCAGGCAATGGGAATCTGAGAGAATTAAAAGAAGATAACCTGACTTCATTTATTGGCCAGTTAACAACATAATGAAAAATACCTCAAATAGACTGAAAAGATTCAGTCATTGTTCATAAGAGGCTGTCCTTTCAGGACAAGACACAGTGACATTTATATTCTCCTCTAAGCATAATTTCAAGGGAAGGTCTTAATAGCATTAATTATGTTTGCATAATTAATAAAAATCAAGAGGTTACATTTAACCTGTCCAAGTCATGTAAAACTTATGAGAAACCCTTTTGACACAGACACTGGGATTTTTCTGCCTCTTTTATTGCTACGTATCATGATTTTTAGACATCTTGAAAAGTGAGACAATATTTTCTGAAAAAAAAATTTCAGAGAGAAAGAAAGAAAAGGGGGAGAAAGGTTGTCACAGCTTGGCTTTGTTTTTCGGTGCTGGCATTTTACACAGAATCATGAAGGCAACCATATATTTGCTGATGAAAGTGAAGATGGACCAGGAAGACCTCAGCCCAAAGGACAAGGACAGTTGCCATTAAGTAGCCTTTGGTCTATTCCCAATGCCTTTATCATCACTTCAAAATCAGGCGGCTTTCCTATCTCCCTAGCAATGGCCATGGTGAGTAGAGCTTGTCAATTAAACATGAAACGAAACATAATCTTCCCCAAACAACAAGGCGGGATAATCTTATCTGCTGTTATGTGAGAGTATTAGGGAAGATAAGAATACAGATGGTTGTTATTGGTAAAAGGAGAATATAATTAAAATGATTTATTTATAGTATTTTTCAAGGGCACTGGTGATGTTACAGTCTTCTCAAACTCCGAGTCTCTCTTTATTCACTTCCTCAATTTGACAGTTAAATTTGAGGGAGTAAGAGAGTTCAAGTCAAATAATTCACTCTATAAGGCAGGGTAGGTCAGCCGATGAGTGTTACACAGGCATAAGACGGTGTCGATGAGTGGGACAGGACCCTGTCCCAGTGTGGGCAGGAGGGCGGGAGGTGGACGACCTGTGCCAGACCCAGTTCTGGGGCAAGAGCTAATCTCAGCAAAGAAAAGTTTTCTGGGGCTGCCAAATGATATGCACATTTGAAAAGAACCTAACATTTGAGGATCCAAGTGGATCTGGGAACTTCCGGTCCTAAGAACTATTTGCTCAATTCAAAATTTTGCCAGGGTAGGGCAGGGGGCTAAGACAAACATCCAGCTAGGAAGCAAAACTAACAGTATCTCACTGGATTGAACAGGCCAGGGCTGGAGGCAAGGCCTTGGCCAAGGCCCAAAAGTCCAGCTGTCATGATCAAAGAGGAATGCTGGGAACTGGGGAAGCTGAGCCAGGGGTGGAGCCAGGAAAGCAGCACCAGCTTTGGCGAGAGATCTCTCCGGTTGCACAGCCCTTCCGTGTAGCCTTCACGTTCACCTCATCCCCCAACTTCACACTACATTCTAGAGCCTCAGGCAGAGACCGCTCCTCGGAGGCCCTAAGAACAGGAGGAGGAAGAAGCACTTTCTTCCCGAGCATAGGCTGCCTTCCACCTGGGTACAGGTGCAGAAACCCCCCCAGGTGAGCCTTGTCATCTGAGCAAAGATCAGCAACACTTGCCCTGCCAGGCCAACTGTGTGCTTACAGCTCCACAGTCCTTGCACCGCACACGCAGCCCCTGCTGAGGGCGTTCGGGGCGCTGGAACCCCTTCTGGGGAAACTACACAGTCTCCATCTGCTTTTTGAGGACAGACCGAGCTGGCCTAGATGCAGTATTTCCTAGTCTCAGTATAGCTTTTCTTTAAGTTCCCCAGATGAAACAGCATCAGCTATAGGGACTCCAGCCTCCCAATTGCTTTTTATCATGTGTGTTCTCACAGGCTTCACAGAGCAACTCTCCACTGTCACTTTTGCTTTTTCTCATCAAAAATCTTTCCACCTCAGTTCACCTTCCCTCTTCTGCTCAAATGCCAGATGTCACAGGAAGATAGGTCAGCAGGGCTTTCAAAAAATACTACTGTTGGCTTGATGGCCTCACAGCCCCTGGGTGGTGCCTTAACATGTATCTTAGGTACCTGGTGAATCTTCCCCTTGTGGGTAATGAAGACAGGTGATATATCACCCTGTTAGTGCCCAGCCTCAGTGTTCAGACTGCCGTGCTGTGCCAGAGGACAAAAGTTAGAGCAACCGCCTGTATTTTATTGGGCAAGATAATGCTTTTAATGAACAATTGCTAATCAAAATGTATATTTATCTGGAAATAGGCTACTTTCTGTGTAAGAGAGAAAACTATGATTCTATACTGGCATTTGCCTGCATATGCATTCAGAAATTCCAGAAGACCTTATAACGTGTGACTGTGGGGAAAAGAATGGGGACAAGAGCCATGGGTGGGAGGGAGTCTTCTCAGCTGCCTTTTTGTGCTCTGGATTTTGAACCATGTGAATGTACAATCTATTTTTAAAAACACACATACAAATTTTAAAAATAGAAAAAAAGCATTCACAGATGCTTCCAAAGTCCTCTAGTCTCTCTGTATGTCTCTCTCTGTATCTCAGGGGCAGGAGAATCTGGGTCTGAATCCTCTCACTTCTCTACAAACACAAATGTGATGCAATTGGAGACCTCCCCAATGACTTTTCCAAGGTAATTCTCTCCCTTTGGAAAAGACAGGGAGAAAAAAAGAATTGGACAACTGTAGCTTGAAATGGAGTTAGAGTATTAAGGAAGTCCCAGAAGTAGAGATAATATTGATTTTCCTTAAAAAAAAAAAATTGGACTTATTCCCATTACGTGGGCCAAATGAAAGTGTGTCCTTTAAATAGCAGTAGCATTGATTAAACATGCCCTGGGACTTGAAGATGACAAGCTTTGGGATTCTGGATGCATGTGTTCCAGGCTGCGGTTTGGAAGCTTGACCAATTCTAGTCAACGTTTTGGCAGTCAATGCAGCTGCCTGGCCAATTATCAGAGCTACTGACTCCTAATACCCATTTATGCATGTACTTTGTTATCATTCTGTTTTCTTTCCCCCTTCAGTTTGAAGTAGGACTGCGTGGAATTTCCTGACATTGGCACACACTCTTTGCTGGGAATCTGCTGAGAAAGTAGGGGGGTGGGCGAAGAAACTACCTACCCTTGCTTTCCCCAGCTCTCTGGTTTCTTGCCTTTTTGTTGCTCTATTTCCAGTACCATAGCCTTCTTCCTCTCCCCAGCCTAACATCTATGGTGCATGTGCTGCAGTGAACTCTGGTCAAGACTGCTGGCCCAGGTGAGACTGAGGACAAGGGGAGCACCTGCCTCTGGGTTCTTCCACCAGCCTCACTGTACTGCCTGCCTCCCTCCTGCCCCTGGTGGCAATTTTTCATCTCCCTTCACACCCAGGCTCTTCTTCAGGACCCAGCCTGTAACACACTCCTGTAGCCTCTTTATCAGCAGCCAATAATCAAACCCCTGGTGCATTTTCAACACCACCCAGAAGGATCGCACTAAAAATGTCATCCTGGGGAGCAAATATTTTGGGGGAGGCCCAGATGAAGCTGTCATAGAGGCTAACAGGCAATGAGGTGACTTTTGGGGAGCAGGAAGCACAGCCTGGTGGCCCCAGCATAAGATCTGGCCAATAGATGGGCCTCAGGAAATGTTTACTCAATTCGTTAATTCACTGCTCTGGACAATCCCCTAGAGAGACAACTCAGTAGGGGGTGGTGGATATCATTCCTGTGCCACTTCAGATGCACTGTCTACCCTTCTCTCTCTTCTCCAACCTGCTCCCTGCCCAGGAGACTGACTGTTAGGACTCTGTCAAACGTGCAGCCTCCTCCTCTTGCTCCCTATTGAGTTTGACCCATGAGAGCCATCGCGGGAGACTGTAGGTGGGGAGGGAATGGAGTCAGGTTGCGCACAGCTGGCTGGGTCCCCCTCCCTCGAGGGTCAGGAAGCCCCTCCTCCTCCCTGCTCTTCCAGGTGTAGGGGACATAACTTCTGAGTGTTGCTGGCCCTGGGACCCTGCATTAGCTATCGTGGTTGCCCCATATGTAGCCCACATCCTCATAAGTAGTTCCTGCATTAAACTTTCCTTGAATTAATTATCCTGAGTTGAGAGTGCCACCGTTTCCTGCTGGGATCCTGACTGGTACAAATTGAAAGGCTTGCATGTGGGTCCTGGCACTGCCATTTACTAAGTATGTGACCTCGGACATTCCACTTAACTACCCTGGGCCTCAAGTCCTTTAACTGTAAAATGAAAGGGTTCAATTAGATTTTTAAAAATTATTTCACAAGTGCTTATTGTGAGCTACTCTGTATCAGGCAGCACTCCAGATGCTGACAAATCCACGATGAACGCAATCAAGCCAAGAGCCAAGTCCTCTATTTGATGGGCTAGGAGAAATGTCTTCTTAAGACTCACTAATTCTAAAATCTCTGATTCCTTGATGGTCCAGTAATTTTTAAGGCAAGAAAAGATTTGAGGATAGAGCTTCAAAGAGAATTATCCTACTTCATGTTGGGTGGTGGGAGTGGGGTAGAAGAGGATGGACTGGGCTAGGTTGTCATAGGGAAACTCTACGCCCAGGGACAAGGGACAAGCAGTGGGGGTAAGTAAATTAAACTTGTTGGGAAGAATGATCCAGGACCTCTGTCTCTGTGTGTGTGTGAGTGTGTGTGTGTGAGTGTGTGTGTGTGAGTGTGATCCTAATGATCATCATCATCATCATCACCACAGCAACCCGGAAAGAGGTATTCATTACAAATCCTAGAAAAGGAACAAAGTGAAAAGAGAAAAACTATAAACTGTGCTTGATTGTATTAAATAACAATGATCATTACAGTCATTTGTTAGGACTGTTTACCATTTGTGTCTAGTCACTAGGCAGCGTAAACAACATATGTGTATCACTGGATATGCATCAGGTTAATCTTGTTGTAAATCATATTTGATATGAAAGTAAGTGGCTAAGATGAATCATCTTTGTTGTTATGCTAACCAGTGGGGTTTGGCCTGAGACGCCTACAGTCCCTCTGTTCTCAGCCTCCCCAAAGTGCATTTAGACGGTGACACTCCTTACGTTGGAGGTGGCAGCTGGCAAAAGAAACAAGAAATGGGTTGGTTCAGCTTGCAGGATTTTCCTAATTGAATACGTATTCTAAGCCTTCTTTGTTTCAAGAGTCTTAATCTCTCATATTCATACACAGCTTCTCCTCCCTGATTCCTGCCAGTCTCTGGTCTTTTTCCATCTGTGTTAGGACTTTCCTCCTATAGCACAAGATGTTCCAGAGCAGGCAGGCTGTGTTTTCACAAAGGTAATAACACTCCAGATTTACTCAGCACTTCTGGGTCCCAAAGCCCTTTTCCATACCTCTTATCTTGCAAGGATAGTCATGATGTGGGCCTAGCGGGGGTCCTCCCCATTTTGGGATAAGCAAATAAAGTCTCACAGGGTGTGGGCACTCTGTCCAAGTTCACACGGTCAGCAAGGAGTATAACTGGGCTTCTCTACACTGGTCAGACTTTTTTCTGTGCTATGTAGCCTTGATGTCAGAGGGGCACTTTCCATGATTTCAATCCTCTGCTGGGGAAATGCTCGGTTGGTGGCCCTCTTTGGCCATGGTACACACAGAGTCTGTGTCTTCTAAGAGCAGCCTCTGTGCCCACCTCCTTGCTCTCTTTGATTTGCTGTTGCCCTGAGACACAAGACAGGTCATTTTAGCTTAAGTGCAGTTCTAGGCCCTTGCTCACACTGAAATGCACGGGCCTCTAGTTCTCTGAAAAGACAATCTTCTCTTTCGAGGGTAGGAGCAGAGATGTCCAGGAAAGAAACTCCAGCCACGGAACCAGACCACGGTCTGACAAGGGGAAGACCATTCCAGATGCATGCTTCTCTTGCATCTGCCCTTCTTAGAGACATGAGGGCCTGCTCCATCCACAGCTGGGAAGAGGTACCACAGCTCTCTCTGGTCCAGTGGGGCTCCATGTTCTTTGTCCAAGGCTCTAAATGCCAGTATCAGCTCCAAAGTACTTTCCAGTCTTGGTTTTCACTAACTTCCTGCCCTGGGGCAATGAAACACACCTATCCCAGTCCCACTGAACTACTCCCAGTGTCCTGACTCCCTAAATACTGTGCATGTGTTTGCAGATCTTTCTCTCTGTCTGACTTCTGCTCACTACAGGCAATGGGCCCTCTGCGGCCTGTCCCAGATGGTGGGATGGGTACCTCCGCTGAAGCATGGGATGCATGGTTAGTACCATATTAAATAACCTGAGTTACCTCCTAGGGAAGTTAGCCCCTGCTCTACTCTGGCAGGCCAGGACAGCGTATGTTCACTCCTCTTTAACAATCCTTTTTTAACTAAAAAATGTGTGCACTCTGATTGAGCTTTCACAGGCAGCAGTTTCTAGCCATCATTGAGCATTGTTTTATTTCCATTCTATTTTGTATCACGCACAGCCAGTGATTTTGATTCTCATTTAAGGAGGTGATATAGAGTATCCCTTTTAAGAAAATATTTTCTAAGTTATAAAGAATGGCTCAAACTAATGAAAAACTTTAATTAAACAATGACTGTCACATAGAAATGACAGCAATCACAGGACGGCATGTATAGAGTTAAAGTTGAGCAGGCAAAGCAGTCGGGTTAGAATGGGCACACATTCCAGCTCTGTGTCCATTAGCGGAATGACCTTTGGTAAATACTTCTCTGTAAAAGGGAGATCATAATGTGCCTAAAGAATTACTCAAAGAATTAAATTAACATAATGAATGTAAAACACTGAACCCAGTGCTTGGTGCATAGATAATGCTCAACAAAAGCTAGATGTCATATGCCAGCCTAGGAGAAATGCCATCTCTTCCATGAAGGCTTCCTGGGTACCTCAGTCAGCATTTCTCTCTCCTTCCTTTGTTCTTTCATGGTACTTTGCACTTGATTACACTTAACTTACGGAACTTCACACTTTCTGTCTTGTACATATTGTGTGGTATTAGACTTGTTACATGTCTATATCCTACACAGGACCTAGCACATCCTAAATGATTAATACACTTCTGATTATGGATGGATTCCCTTTTTCTTTTCTTTTTTTTTTTTTTTTCATGTTTTTGGTTTACAAAGGCTTGTTTCCTTTTTTTTTTTTTTTTTTTTTTTTCTGGAAAGCTTTAAAAGACTATTTCCAATCTCAACGTACTATAGAGCATCCTGGAAAAACTCAAAGATTCTGGGGAAAGAGAATGGAGAACACTTGTTTAATATCATTTAAATCACTATGGTACTCAGGCTGCCAATACAGAGTCCTGCCTATATCTTTTTTTTTCTGGAGCAGGCATGAGGACCAAGTTGCAGCCTGGCATGTACACAGCAGGTGAAGGACAGACAGCTAGCAAGGAAAGGGGAGGCTGACACAAGGGACGCAAATCAAGTAGAGACAACAAGGTGCGGGGTTGACATACTGAGCCTTCGGGAGAAAGAACCCTAAGTGAACCTGATATGAATCTTTTGCCCAGGACTTTACAATTAAAATGGAGAAAGGGAGTAATGTGCAAATCTGAACGTAAGAAGGCTACAGGCCCATCTCCACGATTTCTCCACTCTACTTAAGATTGAATGATGAGGAATGTGTCTCAGAAGCCTTGTCTTCATTTGAATGAACCATTTCTTCCCCCTACCCCACCCCAGAAGCTGCGGCAGAGCCTCTTTGGAAATACAGTCCATGTCTTCAGCGATGACTGGGAAAAGGCCTGTTTCAGGTTCCATGATCCTTTTTCTGACCTGGCTTTTGCTTTGGAAGTGGGAAAGGTAATGGCAGGTGACAGTTTTTAAAAACCCCAATTCCATATTCCTTATCTGTGTTTCCTTCATTCTCATCCATGGGCACGCATGCTTTCATTATAGTCACTTGTAGAAACATATTGATAATTTAATATTTAACCTTAAATGATTATAGACTGTTTAAAATTTACTGTCTGGGTTGTAACAAAGACTCTAACCCTTTTTCCTCTCCCTCCCACCTTCCAGATTCTAGTTTTCCTGGCTCTTTTCTCCAAGTCCTAAGCATCCCCAGGGACCTAAAGGCAGGAGATCTAGCAACTTCCGTCAGGCTTTTTTAGAACCTCAATAATTTATGTCATTGATCAGCAGTCACACAGAATTTCAAGAGCTAGTCACCTATTTCCTTACCTCCTGCAAATCAAAAAGTTCAATATAAAGCAGGGGCATTGCAGTGGCAGGTGGAAGAGAGCATGTACCCCCAGGTACCAATCTGCCCGGCTCCACAAAAAGGCTGGTCATTGAAGATTCTAGCCTAGTGGGAGCCCATGGGGAGGTATGGCACAGTGTGATACAATGTCCCTTGCTAAGCCTAAGGGATGCTACATGCTGGGAGGGAAAAGGCTGCAGAGAAGAATAGATCAGGACATCCATTTGCAAGAGTTCTCTTTTGTAATGGCAGCCCTGAGAGGTTCCATTACAACAGTAAACCCTGCTCCCAGCCTCCCTATTCATCTTCGCCTTTCCAGGGAGGTGCCCGAAGCATTCAGATGGCTGTGCAAGGATCCCTCATCAAGTACTTGTTGTTTACAAGGGAAGGGAAAGACTGTGACTTCCACAGGTAAGCGGCCCTTAGAAGTACTTGGACAAGTTACTCATTCCCTGAGAATCTTCATATGCTAAATAATCACAGCAGAAAATCCCGTGGGTCTCCTTAGGAAGGGGACTTGCTCCTAAGGCAGAAATGGCGCTGGTTCTCCCGGAGGGGCTGGCTTTCATAACTGGGACGGGGGGTTGGGGGGGTAGCTTTTCCCAGAGTCACTCGCCCAGTTCAGTTGCAGAATACTGCTGACAGTTTTTATGCTCTACTGCAGACCACCCTGGCAGGTAAAATGAAACACCGGGTCTCAGGTGGCCTTACTTGACAATATTTGATGGGAAGCTTCAACCCAGCAATTCCAGGGAGGAACAAAAGGGCAATGAAAAGCCCGATAAATGAAGGATTAATCCTCCTATTTAACCAGGCTACCAAAGTACAGTGTTTAGTCGTTGCCTATTTTTTAAAAATCCATTCAAACTACTTTATTCTTAGGAGTTAACAAACCCCTATCATTTGCAAAGCTCTATGCTTGATATTATAGAAACTGTAAATAAGCAAAAGGCATCTACCTGCCCTTAAGCAAGAGAAGTTATCTCCCGAAACTGGAACTACATATACAATGTATGCTAAGACGGTGCACTGCCAAGTTCCTCGGAAGCAGCGCCAGAGCTGGGAATTCTTTATACAAAGGGGTGGCTGAAGGGAGCGCCCTCAGGGGAAACCTGTGAGAGAGTGTGGGAGCCAGGGACGGTAGGCAAAGCCGAGGAAGAATATGGTTTCTGGGGCGGCCCTTGGGTATCACTGTCCAATGTTCTGCTAAGAGAGCCCTGGCCACGGGCCAGTCTGCAGGCGGCGCAAGACTCCTAGTTGCTTCTGGTCCAGGTGGCTCCAGTTCTTCAGAGAAAGTCGAGAGCCGGAGCCCGTAGCAGCAGTACCAGAAGCAGCTGCCCACAGTAAAAGGGATCCCAGGGAAACTAGACAGAACACACACAACATTCGCTGCCCAAATGTAAAGCGTTTAATACAGCCCTGGCAAGTGTCAAATATTAAATACACAGTAATGAGTAACTGCTTTGATAGACCAGCTCCATGAGGCCTTCCTGAACCTTCCCAGTCACAAGTTCCCTCTCCTTCTGTATTCTCATAGCACTTTCTTTAATTCTCATCTGCCTCCTAGGAGGGTTTTGGAGTATGAAACTCCTTGTTACTCATTTCTGTATTGCCACAGAACTAGACGGATTCCATAAATTATTGCTGAATTGATTAATAAAACTCTATGTTTCTTCCTCAGGACAACAGTTGTCAATGTAAAATACTGAGGAAACAGGCATAATAAAGGTCTACCACATAAAGACCTTTTCCCATTTCCTGGGAGGTCTGACAGCCTGTGACTCTTACTCAGTGGAGTGTGATGGTTAAGGCTAGGGAGTCAGAAGCCCTCACTGCCTCGTTCACATCACTGCTCTACCGCTTTAAAGATGAACGGCCAGGGGCAAATCATTCAACCTCTCTGTCTCACTTTCCTCACCTTTAAGATGAGAGTGGCAATGGCATCTACCTCCCAGGCTGTTGTGAGGATTCATTGCGGGGCACAGTGAGCACCAGGTGAGCGTGAGCTCCAGGTTAGCGAGGGCAAACCTGAAGTGAGGCCTGCAGTGATGCCCAGGACATGATCAGGCAGAAGAGACAGGCGTGGTGTGCAGAGTAAAGGCGGAGTAAAGACGCATTTGCGCAAATGTGGGAAGTATGTTCAGGGGACTGGTCCACCTGGGGCAGAGGGTTTGCAAGATGGAAATCTGGGAGATAAAAAGGGAAGAATTGTTTGGGGCTGTGCTTGGAAAGGGCCTGTGTTATTGGGGTAAAGAGCTAGGATCAGTCCCTGCTGGAGTTGGGGGAGGAGGACGGCAGTGGGGCTGGGTGGGGGCACTGGCACACCAGATGCGACTGGCTGAGGTGACCAAGACCAACAACGCACTGCTGTGAGGACGCCGGTTCCAGCTGCAGCAGAGAGGACAAGGCCCTCCCGGACATTCTCGCAGTGTAGGTTGATGAGGGAGCCAAAGAGACCCACCCTGTATTCAGAAAAGTTCTTAAACGTGGAGGCCCCGGCACTCGGCTAGGTAACAGTCCACTCCAATGTTTTCCCGCCCCACCTCCTGCCCTGTAGTTTATGTGCAATAAGCAAGCAGGAGCAGAAGCAAGCCCTGGCCGCGGCCCTCGCTGGTATCCTGTGGGCTGCAGGAGAAGCGCAGAAGGCCACCCTCTGTCTTGTCACTGAAGACACTTACGTCGCCTCAACTCCTGACTACTCTGGGGACAATTTCACGGAGCGGGTGAGTGCACTCCTACCTGTTGTGCCAGAGAAAGGGCCCGTGAAGCCTAACCACAGAAATGAAGGCGGAGCCCCACTGATGCTCCTGTAAGTCTCTGATGTGGCCAAAGGCATTGACCACAGAGGCAAAGACCAAGGGTTGTGAGAGATCCAAGCAACCAAAACCAAAATAGAGAATCCAGCTACGGATTTCTCCTTCCAGAATTCACGGTGATCAAGGATGTCCCATATCTAAAATCATCATGGACTGCATTTCCATGTCCACCATCTTAAACATAGCTCAATTCTACCTGTCAGGGAAAAAAAAAAAAATCTGTTCATGATATTATACTGATTTAAAACTGAGGGAGGTAAAGGTGAGGATAATAGCCCCCCAATTTACCATGTATGTTTTACACGGCCTTGTGTAAGATAATATGTCAGTTTTTAGCAGCGTGATTTTGCAATGAAACAAAAATCTCCCTTAAGGTAATAACAGTGAGTTGACACCTTATGGATGTAACTTTCATCTTCCTTTTCATTTTTATCTCCTATTCCTGATTTATAGCTCCAACTGTTTGAAGTTTTAGACAAAGAAGCCACTGAGAAATTCATCTATGATCATTTACACTGTGTAAGTGTTTAAGCATTGAGATAATTCTTTTATGTTGAACTGATCTTACAGGAATCTTCTTTCTTTTACAAAATGTATTTTTAATGATGCTTTTTAAGAAACCCAGATCATCTTGAGGGCTAAAGAAGGGCAGAAGGAGAGAAAGGAAGCCCGCCTCTCCCTCCTTGCAACCTAGAAAGAGGTGGATTGCATACAGGCCACTCAAAAATGCTTCTTTCTCCTTGGCTAATCAAACCTAGAAAATAATACTACAGAGGGCATATACCAAGATTTCTTTTGTGGGATGAGAATATGTTAAAGCAGTCTTGCCTCATCTAATGAATAAAACACAAAAATGGTAAAGAACTAAGGCTCTAGTCTGAAGTGCCAAAATGGCCATTCACACTGACTCCAAGGAAATTACTTTGGTCTGAAAAATGTGGCCTTGTTTCATGTCTTCTATCAGCACCTTCCACACAATGTTCTCCCCTGGGTGGGGAGGGGACAAAGAAAAGGACAGTAATGGTTGAAAATGGAAGTTGTTTTTTTTTTTTTAAGATTTCTCTGCAGAGAAATAAAAGTTGATTTTCTGAAGAATCAGGACTCTGCAATGTGAATGCAGGGGACAATGAAATGAGCAGGGTAACCATGAAGCCATTAACTTTGGATTGTATAGAAGGGGGAACTGTGATCCATGAAGCTCACTGCTCTGTTCCTTTCAGAGGCCCCAGAGGCAGAAAAGTTGGGCCCAAGTTCTCAGCCACACTAACTACATATGATCATGGTTCAGCTGGTTCCCCTGGGCCCACCCCTCCCACTATCTCACAGGTTTGAGTGGTGGGCAGAAGAATGATCCCTCACAGGTGTCCAGACCCTAGGCCCTCAGAACCTCTGAAAGTTTCATGACGTGGCAAAGGGGAATTAGGTTGCTAATCAGCTGACTTTAAAATAGGGAGAGCATCCTGGGTTACCCAGGTGGCCCAATGTAATCACAGGATCCTTAAATATGGGGGAGGAAGGCAAAAGAGAGGGGCAGGGTGATGTGCTGTGAGAAGAGGGTCACCACTGTGGCTGGCTGTAAAGATGGAAGGCGGGGGCCGTGAACCAAGGACTGTGGAGAGGGCTGCAGGAGGCTGGGAAGGGGCAGGAAATAGGTTCTCCCCCAGAGCCTCCAGAAGGAACACAGCCCCACTGACACCTCCATTTCAGCCCCATGAGACCCTCTTCAGACTTCTGACCTCTAGAACTGTAAGATAATAAATCTGTATTCTTTAAGCTACTAAATTTGTTACAGCAGCAATATGAAACCAGTAAAAACCGTATGATAGATTTTTAATACGTGACAGGAAATGTCAAGCTGGAAGCCTGCTTAGAGACTCCTTGTGGGCCAGAGATGTTTAATGGGGTTGCACAGATAGAGAGGAGCTGCGTAAGAAATAAAAGATCCTTGCAGCTACAAGGGGCAAATCCTTCCTTCTCTGTCTTCATCTCTTCAACTCAGACCTGGGAGAGTCTGATTCAAAAGGAAGGGCCCCCCTGCCTCTTCCACCCATTTGCAAGGGATTCCTCGGCTTTGAAAATCAGAAGATCAGAGCTGAATCTACACACAGGCTTTCCCCATCAAAGGCTAAGAGTGGAGTTGGAATACATAATACAGGCCCTAAGCAGAAGCAGACTGCCCAGCACAGGTGGGCTTCACACAAGAGCTGCCTGTGTCAAGCCGACCCAAGCTCACCATCCCTGTAGCCACACTGCGGAAGGGCTGGCACCATTTCCTGTGTGAGGGGCAAACCATGACCAGGGGCTGCTCATTGTGATCAGCCCCCATTCAGACCTTTACCAAATCTCATTCACTGTCAAAATGCGCCTGTGTACACAGATGTCTGTGTACACGGAATAAGGGCTACATGTGTGCAGTAGGGGCTATTGTTATAGGTTGAATTGCATCCCTCCCCAGAAAGATCTGTTTAAGCCCTAACTCCCAGTACCTGCGAATGTTCCCTGATTTGGAAACAGGATCTTGGCCGATGTGATCAAGTCAAGATAATACCCTGCTGGATTTGGGTGGGCCATAACCCAACAACTGATTAGGAAGGAAACTTGACCCTAGACCCAGACCTGCAGGGAAAACACCACATGATAATGGAGTCAGAGACTGGAGTGATGCATCTCCTAAGCCAAGGGACACCAGGGATTTGCCAGCAGCCACCAGAAGCTGGGGAAATCAAGGAAGGATCCTCCCCCAGAGCCTTCAGACAAAGCATGGTCCTGCTCTGACACCTTGATTTAAGACTTCTGGCCTCCAGAACCATGAGAGAATAAATTCCTATTGTTTTAAGTCATTCAAATTTCTGGTAATTTGTTACAGCAACCCTAGGAAAGCAATACACCTATACCTGCAGTGTTAAAGCACACGGTGTCATATTTTTTAAAATTTGAGTCAGTAACAGTCAAAAACAATCAGAAAAGTCCACATAAAAACCTGCTTTTCTCCCCAAATCATAAAACCTGGCTGCATTCAACCCATAACTGGGCATGTCCTCCATGAACTAACAGAGACTCCCACCAGACAAGCTGCGATAGACTGAATGATGTTACCTCACAGGTGAAAAAGACTCTGCAGGTGTGATTAAGAATTTGAGATGGGGAGATTATCCTGACTTATCCTGGTGGGCTCAATGAATCATCAGGGCTCTATAAGGAAGAAGGATGGTAGGAGAGTAAGAGAAAGAAATGCAGTGCTGAAGCAAAGGAAGAAGACGCTATGTGCTTTGGGATCACGGACCAAGGAACAAGGACGGCTTCTGGAAACTGGAAAAGGGAAGGAAATGGCATTTCCCTTAAAGCCTCCAGATGGGACACAGGCTTGCCAGCTGTTTGAGTTGAGTCCAGTGGCACCCAGGTTGGACTTCTAACATCCAGAACTATAAAATGATGAATTTGTGTTGTTTTAAGCCCCCAAGTTTGTGGCAATTTGCTACAGGAGCAATAGAAAAGTAATGCACAAGTGTCCTCCAGGTTGCCTCAGCCCCCAGCCCTCCCCATTTCTCTCACTCACGGTCTGCAGTATACCCGCTGGGGCTCCTGTCTGGCTCCTACGGCACCAGTGTCAGGCACTGGGTCCTGTGGCACAGGAATTTGTCCTCCTCCCAAGTCACAGATAACGAAGGGGACGAATGAATATATGAAAGGAAAAGCACAGGTGTTTTAGCCTAAGCCTTCTTGATACAATGCCTCTAAAGGAGAGTCGTCAGCCCTGGACACCTCAAAAGCCAGCCAAGGAACTTCTTTTCAGCAGATAGAGTATTGACAGAAAACTAAGATAAGGCCAGATAATGAGAGGCCTTGAATGTTGGTTGATCAATCTGGATTTGATCCTGGAGATCACGGGGCCACTTCAGAAAGTTCTGAGCAGAAAAGCAACCTGGCCAAGAAAAGAGATAGAGAAGTGCCTTAGGTATTGGGAAACGCCCTGTCTGGTTTCTGGAGCTGTAACCCCGCCAACAGGCGGGAAGGCCCCAAGGCTGGAAATAATCAGGGAGGCCTTGGAGAAACAGGCCCCTGAGGAGACACAACCTGTCCCCTTTGGCAGGGGTGTAGCTCCTGCCTCTCTGTTTGGCCCTGTGATGGTTGCTTATTGATGATGGGTAAGACCCCTCAATGGAGGGGCAACCTAAGCCAGACATTGACCAGTATGGGCAGCAGACAAGGACTTGGGGGACACAGAGAAAGGACAAAAAGGCCCGCACCCCTCGGCTTGGCTTGGACATGGCTGAGATCCTCATTCTATCTGAGAGAAGTCTCCTTGTCTCTTGGCGGCTCCCTCCCCCCGCCTGGCTCAGGCTCGAAACAATACCGGAGTCAGTCCTAAACCAGATCTGGCAGTTCCCAGGGAAATTAGGCCTAAAAGTAAATTATTTAAAGTGTGCTTTGTTCTTCCCTCAGAAGCTATAGCCAGCTCATGCTGGGAAGGAAATGTACATTATTCACAGACCCTAACCCTATACCCTTAGGCACTCATGTTTACTATGCTCTCATGTTTAGTTGTCTTTCTTGTTTACAAGTCTCCTCTCAGACCCTTGTAAATCAGTGTGTTCCTGCCATTTGTTTTCTTCAAAACATCACCCATTCTCTGTGAATGTTAACATATTAATGTAATGAGGTAACCTGTGCATTCGTGTTACCTAGCCCCACTGATAAATTTTTCAATAAAAGCCTTTGAAGAAAGGGACTCTGGGCCTTCTCTACTAGGGGGATGTGCCATGGCCCCTCTCCTGGCAAACAGAGAAGTGCCTGCGATGACTCGTGTTTATCCCCCTCATCCGTGACACCCCCGGGACGGGCTCTGCAGGATTCCGAGTCCCTGGTCCCATCTCAGCTGGCCCCGTATGGTAACCCTCGGATCCCAGAGCACAGCGCTCCCCCCCAAGCGCCACGCAACAACACTTAGGGAAGAACAAGACACTGTGAATGTAGCATGTTCCAGGAACCAAGGTAGGAATTGTGCTTTATGTCATTTCACTTCTGCAACAAACCTGGGAAAAGGTATTTTCATCTGCCATTGTAGGTGAGGAGATTGCAACTCAAAGAAGTTAAACAACTAGGAGTTAGGAAGTGGTGGAACTGGTTCTGAACCTAGGTGTGTATAACTCTGAGCTATTTCCGTAAAGCCTCTCTGCTCCCCAGAGTTTAATGCGGCAACCAGGAGGGCTGCTCTGAGTGAAGAGAAGCTGGGAAAGGGGGCCGGCCAAGAGCAGCACTGGGACCTGGGCTAGAAAGGATGGCGGGGAAATGGAGAGGAAAGATATGCTATATCTTAGCCATGATTTGAAGGGAGTCACAAGATAGAAGTGGAGGAAAAAAGATAGGTTGAAAACCAAGAGAATGATGAACCGTTGGCAGGCATGAGGCAAGGAAGGAGAATGCATGTGAGAGTGAAGACAGATCTGGGGAGGCGGGGAGAGCTCCAGCTGTCCTTTAAGCAGTTGGAAAATAAATCTCTCCAGCTGCAAATCCTTGAACCCCTGCCCACAGATATACATAGCTCCATTGCTTTAGGCAAATGTTCTTTTCTTTTGTTTTCCAAATAGTTCAGTGGGGAAGGGAGCCGTGGTGTCATCCTGTTTCTGTATAGCCTGGTCTTCTCCAGAACTTTTGAAAGGTAAATTCCACAATATTTGCACAGGTATTTCCTACAGCTCTGGGATCACATAAACCATGTATTCTTGTGTTGGAAAATAATTTAATGCCCTATTGGAAACGTGAGTGCAGTTTTTTCTAGTGGATACTCTCCTGTTGATATGTGCTTTTCTGCAGTCAGTTTGGGCAAGCGGATGTCATTGGGAAAGCTTGAATCTGCTTTTCTGGTACAGTAATAGGTTTCTTCTCTTTGTGGTTATAAACATTGGCCGACAATAAAGATTATTTGTATTGTATTCCTGAAACTTCTCTTTTATATATCACCATCACATTTTTGTGGTCTATATCATTATTTCCTTAAGTTTTCTTTAAATCAACAGACATTTGAATATCAACTTATTTCTAAACACTAATATCCTTTAAATCATGTATTTGCTGTATTAAAGGAAATGTGTATTAAACACATCACTATAAAAATTTTTAAATGCTCATATCTCTACCATCCAAAATCATGCCATGCTTTGGGAAACACTGCCCTGAATTATAGTTGATCCCTCCAAAGCACTCGCTGTGCTTGACTCAAGTCTTTAGGTCTTATTTACAAAAGGGCTTGACCTCTAGTCCTGCGAATGGGTTCTTTCAAGAACACAAATAGCTCTCATACCAACACTTAGCACATCCCTCTGGGTGTCAGCAGGAGCCACATGGCACCCTGACTTTAACATTGTCCTGGGTGGAAACCTGACCCCTGGGCTCTGATGAAACAGTAGAGTCTGCCCTTGTACAGCCAAGAAATGGACTTAACCCCTAAGCTGGTGTTTTCCACTTGAAGAGTCTGTTCAGTTCTGCCTGGGGCCGGCACTCTCTGGAGTGGTCATGCGTCACCACCCTAAGCAAAGCATCCCTTGTCCCAGAGCAGTTTCCCTAGTGAGCTCAGCCTCAGAACACATGCAGAGGGATTCTAACGTGTGAGGTCTGTAGCTTCTCCCTTCTCCCTTACCGTTTATCACTGGCTTCTCCCACCTGCACCCATCACTTCCCCTCGGCAACCCCAGTCCTAGTAGCTTTCCCTGTGAGAGATGGAAACAGGCAAGGAATGTGGGAGGGACAGTGAGTAGGCGAGCCACCCTGGGACTGCTGCTTTGGGTTGGGGGTGGAGGGAGAGGAGGCTGCAGGTTCTTGGTGGAGTCATTCCGACCAAATGCTGATGGCTTCTCCCATCCTGCAGGCTTCAGAAAGACCTAGACGTCTCCACCATTCACCTGTTACAACCAAATGCTGGAGGCTTCCTATGCAGGCAGGTAGGTTGGAAGACTTTGGCTTTCCGTGGTCTGAATTAGGCTTTTTTTTTTTTCAATACAGCATATTCTCTCCTAAGTGAAGAGAGATCAGGTTATCTTTGAAAGACTATGATGCTACTTTGAGTTTGTTATCAGATTCTACCTTCCAATTTCCATTACAGTCCTTTCTAATTTACCTCTGAGAGCCCTACACCCCTGAGACTCTAGAAATATTAGAAAATGCCTTGCCATGACCCACCAGAAATCCCTAATAACTGAAAGAAAACTACTATGAAAACATCATAACTTCATGCTTCTTAAATCATAACTATGAAAACCAAAGTGTAAAAGAAATGTAAAGGGAGGATGAGCAACAGCGTCCGAGCGGGGCACATGGGAAATTATGGGGTGTGGCTCAGGAAGGGAAAGTCAATAAGCTATTGCTTAACCCCACCAATTGTTCATGACATACGTCTTTCTAGAATTATATGTTGTGTGATTTCATTCTTTTCTGTAAAATGGTAATTTTAAATGATCATTAGAAGAAAAAAAGAAATGATGTCCTTGTGTCATTGCTATCTAAAATGCAAATATTTGTAAAACACACCATCTAGGCAGTTTTGAACATGATTTTAACTGGAAGAGCAAGTCCACATGTCTTTAACGGCTGTCAAAGTGGAAAGTCTCAAGAAATATTACATGGAGTCCAGACCCGCAGTGACATTGGCTATTTGCAGTGGGGCAAGGACGCCTCAGAGGATGATAGGCTTTTGCAGGTGAGTGTGCCCTGATTCTTAACCACACAACCAGAGTGCCAATACTTTGACATTTTTTAAGTTTCCATATTAAGGCAGTTCAAACCTGAGCTTACCTACAGTACTTTCCTGCATACTTCCCACTACACACGCACACACAGACTTTCAGGGGCTAAACAATATCCATCTCTACTTGCTTCATATTTTATTTTATGTATTATATGTAGATAGAGTATAGGTAATATAAGTAACATACAAATAATTAAAAACAAACTTGAAATATACAGATAAAAAGAAAGTCCCCTTGCATTCCCACCTAGCTACAGCCCCCTTCTCAAAAGTCAGCACTGTCAGTAGCTGATGGGTAGCTTCCCAATCCTTTATTTATGCAAATGAACACATATATTCTATCTATTGCTCAAAGCATTAAAAATATCACTGGGGACAAAAAGGGGGCCCACTTGATTTTTTTTTATTTTATTTTTCAATTACATTTGACATTCAATATTATTTTACATTAGTTTCAGGTGCAGAGCACAGTGAAAGGGGCCCACTTGTGAAACTCCTCTGCAAAAGCTTTCCAGCTCAGGGGATTTACAACCTCTGACAACCAGAAAATAGAATGTGCTGTTGAAAGCACAACCAGAGACTTAAATAAGATGAGATTCCATAAAAACAAACAGGAGAGAGAGTGAGAAAGCAAATACACTCACTCCAAACCACAAATCAAAGATGCTTCTGTGCTATTTTCATAAAAATTTCCTTCCTAAAACCCAGGAAAGACAAGGTGGATTCTGTGAAAAGCAACTAATTCTCTGGAGTGGCCTTGAAACTAGCTGGGATGTAACCCAATATGATGGTGACAAAAATCCCCAGGCCCCATGGTCCCCAACCTCTCCCTACCACTGCACAAAATGAGGCCCCTGATGCTCAGCGGCTGTCCTGTCCTCCACGTTCCCTGTTCCAGCTCAGAAGCCCTTTCCTGTGTGCAGGGCTGCGTACTTGATAAGGTTATGTATCCATAGCGCCATCCATCCTTCCTCCTTTTGTGGTCTCCAGCTACATGTTATTTGACATCATCATCTCACAACACATGCAAACTATGCGTCTGATGGCATCAGTAGTTTGTGACTATAGCAGAATTAGTATATTTTGTGTGCAAATATGTTTTAAAAGTTTACTTATTATTCCTCAAGTTTGAAATCTAGGTCCATCATAGAAAAATAAGAAGTGACAGATGAGCTAAAAATAAAAAAGATGAACCCAATACTTTAATTCAAGGGCCAATCTTTTAAAAAATGCCCCTTTTTTTTCTCTCTAAAATAAATATGTTCTATTCTACTCTACTGAAACTTGCTTTTCTCATTTAACACAAATATCTTTATATATCAATAAATGTATGTCTTCATCATATTTAATGGATGCAAAGAGTTTCACTGTGTGAATGCAAAGGACTGTACTTTGAATATAACCAGGACAGAGACTGGATTTGCTATTGATATTATCATAAAATTCCGAATCACTTATTCTATTATTTGAGAATTCATCTTAGAATTTCTTATATATATAATAACTAGGAAAACTAAGCCAGAATAGGTGATTTATAGATTTCATTTTACATATTTTTCTTTTTTTTCCAACTATGCATGGTCACTTGATGTCCATGGTCAAGCACCCTGTATCTATCAGAGCCTGGTACTATGCTGAGACTCAGTTTGGAGAAAAACAGCAGGATACACTGGAGGCAAGTTTCAAGGAGGGATGGCACAAAACCCACAATAATAATTTTAGCGCTTTGTTTATTATTACAAAACTCTTTTATAATATTATTTCACTACGCCCTCATTATAAACTACAAAGATTTAAAAGTTTCTCATATTTCAGTCATTTGAGTAGGTAATTCACAAGCTTTGTCATATCTCCATGCCACCTCTGCTACTATTTGCTTAATATTTTTCTTTAAATCAACTCAGTCTTACAACTGGAATCTAACCTTTTCTGTAGCAGTAACATAAGCCACTGATTTGATGTGCTTCCCCCCCCCCCCAACACACATATTTAAATAAACATGTTTTGTTTTAAAAGTTCACCCCTTGGGCCAGTGACTTCACGCCCCAGGCCACTAGTGGGCACTTGCACTACACTTTGGCAACTTGATATAAAAATGAGGAAGTTCTTGTAGTTTGTCAGAAACAGCTGTGCCCTGGAAACCAGGAGACTTTGTTGGAGGCCTTGCCCCGCCACTCACGGGCTGTGACTTGGTGAGTTGGGCCAGTCACTTACTTTCTCTGAGCCCATTTCCTCATCTACAGACTAGTGTCCTAACAACTGCCCTGCAACCACAAGACTGATGTGAAGAGCAAATAAATCATGAATGCTGAAGCCTGCTGGAAAGCAGAAATGACCTATACATGTAAGATACAATACATGTATATATAGTTTTTATATACATGTATATATAGTTTTATATACATTTTATAATAGTTGACAAAGAATAAGAATACATGCTTTATTCAGCCATGTTCAATTGCAAGGCTCTGTGTCTGATACAAAGGTGAGTCATACATGGGCCAACATATACATACTCTGATTGCTATAGGAAGAATACAGGCAATAAATGGTACAGCCACACTGGAAGGCCACTTGGCAGTTTCTTATAAAACTAAATATATTCTTAACATACAATCCTGCAATTGCCCTCCTTACCCAAAGGATTCAAAAATTTACATGCACACAAAAACCTACATGTCGATGCTTATAGCAGCTTTATTCATAATCGCCAAAACTGGGAAGCAACCAAGTTGTCTTTTATAGATGAATGGATAAACTGTGGTATATCAATGGAATGTTATTTATTCAATGGAATATTACTTACAATATTTCAATGGAACATTATTCAGTGCTATAAAGAAATGAGCTCTTGCCCTGATCCATGTGGCTTACTTGGTTGGGATGTCATCTCATAAACGGGAGGGTTGTGAGTTCAATTCCTGGTTGGGGTGCGTGCCTGGGTTATTGGTTTGGTTCCCAGTCAGGGTGTGTACAGGAGACAACCAATAGATGTTTCTCTCTTGCAGTAATGTTTCTCACCCTCTCTCTCTCTCTCCCTTCCCTTCTCAAGCGTGTTCTTGGGTAAGGATTAAAATAAAATAAAATAAAATAAAAATAAATAAGCTATCAAGCTGCGAAAACACATGGAGGAAACTTAAATCCATATTGCTAAAGTGGAAGAAGCCAATGTGAAATGGCTACATACCTTCCAGAGCGGCTGTACCATTTGCATATCCACCAGCAGTGGAGGAGAGCTCCTGTTGCTCCACATCTTCACTAGCATTCAGTATTGTCCATGTTCTAGATTTGGTCATTCTAATAGGTGTGTGCTGGTATTTCATTGTTGCTTTATTTGCATTTCCCTGATGATACATGATGTGGAGCATCATAGCTTCTTTGGTGAGGTGTCTATTAAAATCCTCGGCCCACTTGGAGAGCTTTTTAAACTATCAATGATCAGGTCTTCCCCCAGAAAAATGTCAACTTCATGTGTGTAGGATCTGTGTAGTCACAAAGGACCCTGCACTTAGAAGGCTGACACTTGGTTTAATGCTCTGCTTCCACCATCAAAATTTGAAATACTTTTTGAACAAAGCCCCCCCACACTTTCATTTTGCACTGGGCTCTGCAAATTGTATGGCTGGTCGTACCCAGTGACTCTGTTTTATTCAGTCTGGCGAGAACCTTGGTATCAGAATTTTTTTAAACCTACAGGTAATTCTAATGTACCACCAAAGTTAGGAACCTTTGTTCTAGAGTAGGGCTGCTCAACCTTAGCACTACCAATGATTTAGACCAGATCATTCTCTGTGGTGGGGGCTGTTCTGTGTTTTGTGGGATGTTTAGCAGCATCCCTGGCCTCTGTACACTACTTTCCAGGAGCGCCGCCCCCCAGTGTGACAACCAAAAATGTCTTCAGACACTACCAAATGTCCCCTGGGGAACAAAATTGCCCCAGATGAACCACTTCTCTAAAGAAAGAGGAAAAAGTCCTGACTGGTGTGGCTCCATGGGTTGCGCTTCCTCCCACAAACTGAAAGTTCGCCCTTTCGATTCCCAGTCAGGGCACATGCCCGGGTTGTGGGCCTGCTTCCTGGCTGAGACTGTGTGAGAGGCAATGCTTCATGTTTCTGTCTCACATGGATGTTTCTCTCCCTCTATCTCTCCCTCCCTTCCTCTTTCTCTAAAGGTAAATAAATAAAATCCTTTAAAAAAAAAAAAAGCCTTTAAAAAAAGGAAGAGGAAAAAAAATCTCGTTTAGATAATTAAATCCATGGTAAGTAGAATTGGAAAACTAGCTATTTCAACTGACATTACAGAAAAGAATATCTTATTTTAATCAGTATCAGCAAAGTTGACAGCTTTCTGTATACTTCTACATTTGCAAGGCTCTGGGGACAAGTTTCAGACCTTATCTTAAATTAAAATTAAACAAGTGTTTGCTAAATAGCTGCAAGAAGCAACTGTATTAAGAATACCCACCAAAGAGGAGAGGGAGGGAGGAAGTGGGGAGAGGGAAAGATGGAGGGAAAGAGAGAGAGAGACCCAAAGAGTCAAGAATTTATAGGTAGTCAGAGCTACCATTTTGTCAGGATCACATTTCTCTGTACACAAGTCGGCTCGGACCAATAGGACCATTAAATCATACTCTAACAAAAATTATCTCAAATCTTAAAATATTCTCCAGGACCTTAATATTTGCCAGGACCTTAAAATCAGTGAAGAGGCTGAGGCATAAGGTAAAAAATAAAGAGCTTTCCTGCTGGGAAGAGGGCAAAATGTGCGAGACAACAGAACCCCCATCATAAGCTTGCCCACGAATTTAAAGTAGGCCCCAGACGGAAACTGCTCAGGTTAGCTTTGAAATCTACACGGAAATCAAATCTACAGTGTTTCCATCTTTCTGAAAAGTGACTAATGTGGCTTTTCATACTTCCATTTTGGACTCAGTGTTCTGTCCCCAGGGAGACTCCTATGAATCCTGGCCTCAGTGAAAATTGCCTGAAATTGTACACTAATGGTTTGAAACCTGAGGATGTTGATTAAGTTGTCTCTGTCATGCTGTTGAAGGTTGGTTTCAGAACAAATGTATTAAAGAGCAAATACAGGCTGGCAGTTAGTTTTCATACTTGAACTCCTGAGATATATGAATATGCTGGACATGTATACATATAGAGTTTATCTGAAGGTGCTTTTGTCTTCTTTGTATCTCAGGTCATTATTTTAAGATAAAAGTAATATATAATTCATTTATATTATTAAAATACCTATATATACACAAATTTTATATGTATAACACTTCTATATTTTTTCACCATCCTGGAAAATAGTAATTAAAGAAAGTGTAGCAAGTCCTCAAATGACGGCACTTCATTCAGTGCCTTTAGTTACAGCATTTATGAGATGCCATGGGAACTTCACTCTTGTTTACATCCACTAGTCTATGCTAAAATTGATTTTATTATGCATCATTTTGCTTCAAGTCTCAGAACCTATCCACGGCATTAAATGAGGACTTACTGTGTATATGAAGCTTATTTAGCCACTGTTGTGCTAACACGCCCTGTGGTGTGCCGGGCTCTCTCTGAGCCACTTGCAATGATACCTCATTTCATTTAATCCTCGCTTCCACTCAAAGTAGTAATCAGTGTTAGTGTAAGTCCAGTTTTCTGGCCATTCATTTAGAGATGAGGAACTCCCGCCTGAGAAAGGTATCGGAACCTGCCCAAGGCCACCAGCTAGGTAAGTTCCAGGCCTCCATTTCACTGCAGTGTATCCAGAAGTCTAGTATTTCACAGCATTTGACCATGGAACTGAAACACCTTGCAGTGCAGAATTTCACTCAGGAAAGAACTAGACGTGGTTCTAGAACAGCGCCCTAAGTATCGCCGGATTGAAGGTCCCACTGCCACTCCCCTTCCTTTCTGCTTGGAGGCAGGCCGACCCCACACAGGAACCGAGAATCCGCCAACGGAGCATACAAGTGTTTTATGGGTATTTAGGGGCCCCTGCTTAGGATGGGCGCTATAAATTGGAAGAGTAAATGTATGCACTGATAATAAGAACCTAATAAAAGGAAGGCTTCCGAGTTCAAAAGAAAACCAATGTGCTGCCTGACAGAGTCTGCGGAGGTGAAATCGAACCCGTGATGCCATGTCTGTTTTCCTGAAGCGAAATCTCTTCTTCCTCTGTGATAAAATTGCAGAGGACAAAAACACATGTCTTTCAGTCCCAATGTCACAGCCCAGTGGGGGAGACTTTTTTTAAAAAGGAGTTCTCATTAGATGACTCGGCAAGCCCCCCAGAGCCCACCAGACTGACGGTGCCCGCGGAACGCCGCCAGCTACCCGCGGGATGCGGCACTATTTTGAAGCCTCCTGCCACTTCTCTATTTGAAGGTACACGTTTGAGTGTGAGGTTCCAGTACCTAAGTGAGAACATAAAGCAGTTTGAGTCTAACACCATCTGGAAAGCCTTAGGAGGTTCACATTATCTTTGCAACCGAGAAGAAAAATCGACTCCAACTTTCAGAAGGGGCTGAAGCCGTTTCGGTCGGCTGGAACGACGCCCCCAGCAGCCCTGGCAGAGCGCCGCACCGTCCCTGCTGTGCCCTCCTTCCTCCTTCCATTTTCCCTTTAAAGAGACTGATGAAAATTCAACCACAAAAGTACCAAATGGGGCTGCACCCATGCACTCTGCCCCTAAGTCGCTGAGGAAGCATCCCGCAAACATGACAACGTGCCTGCAAACGTGCTCACAGAAGCTACATCAACTTTGTGTTCCAGGTGGCAGAGATGAGAGCCAGACCATTAACAGTCAAGCACACGAATCATCCGCAGGAATCAGCAAAGAAAGCACAGGGTTTCCGACCCCTTTCTCCTGTTCAGATTACCAGACTGGGGCCTTTGGACTTATATTATCAAGCTCGTTATGCAAAGGCACATTCTAGATGGCATGGAAAAAGAATTGCATGGTCTCAATTCTTACCCTCTTGTGTTAGAATTTGCCCATTCCTTTTCCTGTCCTTATATATAATTTGACACTGGCCTAAATGATACATGTTATGAAAAGCTCAGTTGCTGAACCTACTGGGCTTATTAAACAATGAGTGAACTTAAGAAGAAAGGTATTTTATTTATAGTACCACTGTATCGCAATTTAATTCCCTTTTTACCATAGCAACATGAGGCAGCATGCACAAATTCTGCATTGGTGGAATCTCACCAATAAAACATATTTAGAATCCTGCTTTGTTGGGGGGAGGGGGTAGCTGACAAACTATCTACAAGCAACAAAAATTCTTGCCTGCAAATTTCAGCCAAACAGATTATGTGGTCTGCCAAGAAAAGAAGGGAGTGGAATATTTGGCTGGATTCAACTGGGGGTGCTTATTGTGTTTTTTCAGGACTCACTTTCAGCCAGGTGTGTGCTCAGCTGCACTTGCGAAGCTCACCTCTTTGAGTTAATACCCAAAGTACCGTGACAGTTGCAAGTGATATTTTCTTTTCACCAGAATCTCCCAAGCCAAGCGAGACTCTGCCTGCTCAGTGTGGGGCCTGATGGTCACTCTGCGGTTTGGAGTTTGTGGTCTTCCTAACTATACAGTTGGCCCTTGAACAACATGGGTCTGAACTCTGCGGTTCACGTATGCATGGATATTGTTCGATAAATATCTATACTGCTTTTGATCTGTGGTTGGGAGCCTGGATGCGGGGGGTCAACTGTATGCATTGATCTACACCATTTTATACAGGGGACTTAGCATCAGCAAATGCTCGTACCCACGGGGGTCCTGGAACCAACCAATTCCCTGCTGATATCAAGGGACAACTCCAGTTCTGGGGGAGCCGAAGGGTTTTCAACTGCCCCGGGGACCAGTGCCACTAACCTCCCACCCGAGTTGTTCAAGTGTCAACTGTCCTTTATTTTCGTCTTACACTAGTAAAATCTTGAATAGCTTTGAGCCCAGGAAAGGAAACTGCTCTGCCTGTTGCATAAAGCAGCACTAGTGTGGTGTCAGCACCCTGCAGAGTTCGTTACCTGAGTGCCAGGTAACTTCTGCCCACATTAAAAAGATTCTGTGAAACAATATCATATGTGTCTGTATTCTATTACATCAACCAGACATACTTTACTGGACCACTCATTGATTTAAAGTCAGCAAGAACATCCACCTGAAGTTCAAAAGGAGTGGCATTTTATTATGAACAGTATGAACAACCATCAATTTCCTAATTAGTTTATCCAAGTTTTCCAACCCTAATAGTTCCATGTCCTGTGGATTATATTTTGATTACCTGTAACCTCAGTACAGAAGGTGCCATGGCAAGAAGACCTAAGAAGGAAAGTGCTTATGTTATAACTAATGAATGGCTACAGTGTTATTTGGAAGTTGGGGGTGGATTCTGGAAGGTAAACACATATGGCTGCTTCAATGACACATCCTCAGTGTTTTATTTCCAGTGCAGCCAGCGGGCGACTTGCCTCACGTTTGATATATGAGATGCTCATGTTACATGCAGCCCAGAGGGGTCAACTGGAGTGTGAGTAGATGAGTAAATCCTGCACCCGCTATGAGCAAGTCCAGATTAGGGTGCTAGGCTTGCTCCCCCTTTATAAACTATCAACTAAAACTTGGGCCACTTCTTTCAAATACAGTAATATGATTGTTCCATGTTAGTGAAAAGTGAAATGCTTAAAGACAAAAGCACCTCTAATTCACCCACCCATCCGTAACTGAAGAATTTAAAGAAAAACAAAGACAGTTGAATAGAACCGTTAAATCAAATATCAAGTTATTAGCCTTTAATGCTTGGGTTTACAAAACACTTGATACTTTTTCAAAGCTGAATTTTCCATGAGATAGAATTTGTTCGTGAACACACAGCACAATTCTGAGGACGGAGGAGAAGAGACCGAACTGAATCCTGCCGTTGCGGGAAGCCCCGCCAGGGCAGAGGATCCCGCCGCTCTCCCCGGCATCCTGTGGACATGACGGGTTTTTCCATGTCGTTGATGTTATCTAAGTGGGAAAAAATTTTTTTAATGTTAATGAGTTTTAATGGCAATCATTTAAAAAATATGTGCTACTCTGCCTGGTTAAACAAAATGGTAGCTATCATTAATAGAAATGTGCTATAATACCATGACGCTCTTGGGGGCGACAGAAGTGTGCATTCACTTTTTACTCAGGGGCCCCCAGAGTGGTGCTTTTGTGAATCTGATCCACTATCTATAAGAATTCAAAGCCAAATTGGCTGCTGCCTGGTAAAAATGGATAACAATTTGGTTACAGCAGTAAACTTACTATATGTAATAGTAAACAAGCACATTTGGCTCTAAATATATCTTCGCAATTGATGTATGTGTTCACCTCATTTCTCAGCTTTTTCTATATTCAAAATATTCTGTATTCCTATAACTTAAATAATCTTTTCCCCGTATTCTAAATGGTTAGTTGTTAGAAGTTTGACCACCTGCTGAATGTATCCTGTCCTATCTTGGGAATGGAAGTTTTTACGTTAGTCAACAACAAAGAAACTTGAAGTTCTCTTATTGCAGCCCTCCATTTATATTTCAATTTATGTATATCCTCTCTACCTCACTTCAAAACCAAACTGAGCTGTTTCTACCTCCTCTGTGAGGCCACCCTCAAAAACAATTTTTAAATAAAATCCATTAAGAGAAAAACTACAGCATCACCACCAGAACACACCATTCATAAATGTAAATTCATTCACGAAGTTTCATTTCAAGTCTCCTTCCACACACAGCGCCTGACACAGCTGCAAGTGCAATGCAATGTCTCAGAGCTGCTTTTTGATCATGACAATGTATCAGCATCACCCATAAAGTCGGCAAAATCTCTATATATATTCATCTGCATTTATTTCTCCCCTTCCAGGTGGGCAGCATGCTGAAGACTCCCAAGTTACCGATTTGGCTGTGCAACATCAATGGAAATTACAGTGTCCTTTTCAGCACAAACAGGCAGCTCTTATCAGACTGGAAAATGGAGAGGCTCTTTGATCTGCACTTTTACAGTGGGCAGCCCTCACAGAAAAAGCCTGCCTGTCTTACCGTAGGTGAGCATTTCTGACTCTGCGTGCTGTGTGCTTTAATGTGCTCAAAGAGACATTTAACAGCTGTGTGAATATTCATGCTAGGTCTGCAGGAAAATGCTTAGGCTTGATTTCTGAAATGAAACCCACCTGTGAGCCCTATGGGCCCAAAGCCCAGTACTGTAACCTGGGGATTCTAAGCCTGCTGTAATTAAGAGCAGGGGTTAGAAGTAGCACAAGGAACAAATAACTTCTAGGTTAGAGAAAAAACAAAAGGTGCGGTCAAATTTCAAAAAGCCTTCTCCAGGGTCTTTTATCTTTGAGCACGCAGCATTTAATGCCTAAGGGAAAAAACGGAGAAAAACAAAAAACAAAAAAAGAACAAATGAATTGGGAAGAAGGGGTTCCAATTGGCCAATTCTATCCCACAACCAAACATCAGATGATCATCCAGTGACATAAGTAACCAAACCAGTGGTGCATTTCTGTTCAGATTAGTTCAAAAAGCCTTTATGAGGACCTACTAAGTGCCAGGCACATAGTCCCATAAACATTAGGAGACTCTAGTCTAGTGGGAGAGGCAGACAACTGCGCAGGTCATTTCATTCCATTTCAACCACGTTTTTTAAACTTGTGCGGAAAAAAGACTAACCTTAACATATGTTTAAACACTGACCATTTGGACAAGGGAATAAAAACGATGAGAGCGGGAGCCTGTATCTGGTAGCTCGGCTTCACTGAAGGAGCCTTGTTGATTTCATTTCTGAGACCTTATATTGACATCATAGGCCTGCTCATTATCATGGCTAAATTTGAAAAAGTATCTTAGTGATCAATTATCTGTACAGATCCTAATTCTTTTTCTGTAATTATGAGAAATATGCATTAGCCCATTTAATTTAGTGGGACATTGACAGTATGTTCATTAAAATATATTATCATTTCTACTTTACTGTCTTCTTTGAGAAAAGCACGATTTTTTTTTACCCCACCCGACAACATGCTTATTGATTTTAAAGAGCAGGAGAGAGAGAAACATCGATCCGTTGCCTCTCGTACATTCCGACCAGGGACCTGGCCTGCAACCCAGGCATGTGCCCTGACCAGGTATTGAACCCATTACCGCTTGGTTTACAGGACGATGCTCTTACCATCTGAACTGCACCAGCCAGGGCAGAGAAAAGCATCATTTTTTTTATTAGCTCACATGCATCGAGAGCATTCTGTCCTGGGCACTGTGTTGAAAGTTTTGCATACATTATCTCATTAAATTCTCCCAATAGGTACATGAGGCAGATACTATGATATCTATTTTTACATAGAGGAAACTGAGGTGGCCAATAGTTACTAATTGAATAAATGAGGCTGAGAAATGTACAGCACATTATCAAATCTGTGAAACAAATCTGGGCCTTGAACCCAGTTCTTGATTACCTTACTAGACTACCTTGCTCTTCACCCCAAAATACAAAGGTACCCACAGAAACATTGAGAGGTGATAGCTCTCCCCTTTTCCTGACAACATCCAGTGACCTATACCTAGCTTTATGCGTTAGATCATGGTGTTGCCACACGCATTATATGACTTATCAAAACTCATGTTTCAAAATACACAGCCACCCAGTTTTTCTACGTACCACCCCTTCCGCCTAACCAGTTCTAGAAACATGCTTGCTGAGCCCAGCTCCTGTCCACCCATCCTGTTTGCCTTCCTTCCTGGCTTCCTCTGGAATGGCTACATAGGCTGAGGTCTAAATGCCGGCTGTTCCTCCCTCAGATACTCACTCCCATCCCTGGGAAAGGGACCAGCGTGAGGACACACATGGACCAGGAAGACGGTTTTCTCCAGTGGAAATGACAATCAGAACCAAGTGGAGAGAGGCCACTGTCAACTGGAAAGGAGCCGGTTCCTCTTCCTAAAGAGAAAGTCACAGGGTGCACAGAAGTGTCAGAACTGCTGCGATACGAAGATTAATTTGAGGGGAGGTCATTTCACACCCACAATACTCATTAGCATTTTGAGGGAGGCATCCGTGTCACGTCCTCTGCAGTGGCTTTCGGTGTGGGAGGGGGAGCAGCCTTACAACAGGCTCTGCAAGGTGTGTCCTCTCTACCCATGTAGACCAGTTCTTTCATTTCATTCAAATGAGAAAATGAAGTCTCTGTCCTGCATGTTATTTCCAAATTAGTCCCTTCTTGATGAGATTCTCCCTGAGGACTACAGATGCGGGCAGCTAGCTTTCTTTTTGGATGAAGTCATTGGCAATGCATCATCAGATTTTTAGCTATGGCAAGAATTCAAGCCTTCTCAAAGACTTCCTGGCGTGGGGAGCATTCCTTTCCAAGGTCACATTTCATGTGCCCACATTAGCAAGTTCTGTCATTAAAATAGTAAGTGGGCTTCGTGGGCTGGATGCGGCTCTATTCCCGGTGGGCTGGCCTCTATGGCAGCTGACTTGTGGGTTCAGGTCGTCATGGCAAACACACAGCAGGAGACATTCTTTCCAACAGTGCTATTTGTTTCCTTTATAAACTGGATAAAAATACATAGACAGACAAACTGACAAAAAAGTCTGACTCCTAGGATAGAACTAAATTATATATAAAAATAAAATCTCTTCTTACGTCATTTTTTGGGCTGTTAAACCCTGTGCAGCTGCTTTCTGTCTTGTAGGAGAAACACTTCTTTTTAGAATATGATCTCTCCCTGTCCTGTTGAATGCCTACACTTTTCCTGAAGCACTACAGAGAGTAAGACATATATTCTTCCTAAAGGAGCACCTAGGAGCCTCCTAGACCTTTTTCCTACCCTGGTCCTACACTTAAGTGCCAACTCACACACTTAAGGGCTTTGTACTCACAAGCTGAAGGTTAGTTTGTAAAGAAAAACTTTTCTGCACATATTTTCCAAGTTAATTTGTTAATGCATTTTAATTTGGCTCCAAAAAAAATGTTTTAAGGAGCATGCAAAAAATGAAACTTCAAGGTGAATAATAAATTACGTCAAAAGAGAAAGGCATTTTGGCTCAGGTTGCAGATTACAGTATCTGTATCAAGGGTGTTTTCATTTGGGATTTTTAAATACATCAGACAATGAGTGAATTCCTGCAGACCCTTGCCTCGTTTGGTCTTAGTTTAGCGATATTGTGCTTTCCCTGGGGTGCAGCCTTGTTTTTGTTTTAGGGACACTGGGTTATCCCTAACTAAATGTCCCTTTTGCCGTGGACTGCTGGATAACATTGCCAAATGAGAAACCCTAGCAAGTGCATTGGTGAGAAAGCTCCCAGCCACAAATAAAGATCTTGCTACAAGTGTCTCACACACAAGGACATTTCCTTTCTAACAAGAATGGTCCAGCTAGGGGTCCACAACTCTCTTAGATCAGTCACGGTTCATCCTCCAGGACTGAGCACAAGATGCTTGATTCCTACGGAGGGAAGAGGGGCAGGAAGGCCGTTGTGAAGACAACCAGCAGCGCCAAACAGCCACTGCTGTATTCGTTCTTTAAAAAGGAATTTTTTAATTGAACTCACTTCTGAATTTATTTTTTTGTCCCTACTCTACTTTGCCTTTGAATTTTTAATTTATTTATAATATGTATTATTTTGCCATATTTTATAGGTTGTTGTAATCTGTCATAAATTATTGCTGGAACAAATCTATGAATAAGTAAAATGAAGGAAAGTTAAGTATCTATGTTTTATGCATAAAGGTATAATTTTGATATATAGGTATTAATAACTTTGCATGTCAATGTTCAGTGAAAATAAGTTTTTATTTTATCTTATAAACAGGGCATCCAGTAATACCTGACTTTTTTTTTTTTTTTTTTTTTTGGTAAGGTGAAAACATGTTAGGTAAAAGTAGCTAGAAGTGTCCTGGGAAAGTTCAACTTTGAACTTTCTGTTTTTTGAGTAAAATGACTTTAATTGTCCTTTTAGCATCTCAAACAGAGAGCAGGAAAAAACCATTTGTTTGAAGAGTGAGATAATAATTTTCCTGAATAGTTGCCTAAACTGACTATGTCTCTAGTGAGACTAACTCCCAAAGGAGATGGCAAATACAAAGATATTTCTCTCCTATCTTGACTTGGACTAGAATGTCCCTCAAAATCATTGTTTGTTCTTAAAGAAGATGTGCATAACGTTGTTTCAAGTGTTTACTCACCAGTGGTAGGTTGTAGGTGGGACCAGGGGCGGGCCGGGGTGGAGGGCAGGAATGCCTGAGATTCCCATCACTTCACACTGGCTGGGTTTGGCTTTGTGCCATCCAGGTTACCTGCAACCTTTAGTCACACCTGGACCTGATTTTATTTATAACTGAGTAACACAAACTGTGAACATTGGTGACTGCTGTGGGGCCCTAGAGACACAATCATTCATTCATTCATTCATTTGAGGAACTTCTTAAACCTCTCCTATGTACCAGACTGGAGGCTGGAGGAAAACAGGGAGCAAAAGCAGCCATTGCCCCTCTTCTCGCACAGCGCTTCGGCTCTTCTGAAAGGATAACAGTAAAAAACAAAAACACTTTAATGAATATAAACTTGAAAACAGGTAAGTGTTTGGAGGGAAGGGATTTCTGATGAGGACTATCTTATAATAAATGCCTGGACGTTTAGGAACTGGCATCTCAGAAACGGATGGTTCAGCTGAGGTTGGGAGGGTGAGCAAAGGTTACCAGGAGACGGGAAGAGGGAGGGAAGGTGCGAACCCCTCTGCTGAATGAGCCTGAGGAACTAGGAAGTCGGTGGGGCTGCAGTGCAGAGAGTGAGGTGAGAGAGAGAGGCTGAGAACAGCTGGAGGGGCAAGTGAGGACCCACCACAAGGCAGTGTAGATGTGGAGGCAAGGCAACCTCAGGAGAATCTAAGGGGGCTGTTAAGACTTGCATTGAAAAAAGAAACGGGTTAATGTGGAGAACGGTTTTGAGACAGCCCAGAGATGATGCAGAGCCTAGTTAGAAAGCTATAGCAATGTTATAGACAAGACAGGAACAGAATAGAGCGGGAACAATAAACATAGAGCAAAGTGGTCCACTCAGGAAGTTTCACTTGGGTTGGGTAAAATAGATAAGGGCACGAGGTTGATTGCAGAGGGAGGGAGATGAAGGAGGAGGAGGACTCAGGAATGACTTCTAAGTTTCTGGTTTGAAAATTGTTGGAAGACTGTGCCTCCACTGAACATGGAAACAACAAATTTGGAGGGGAGAAAATCACAAGTTCATTCTTAGACGTGACGATTCATGTGGAGAGGTAGAGTACGGACTGGAATTAAGGATCCGGGACTCAGAGGAGAGGTCTGGACCAGAGAAATACATGCAGGAGTCGGTGATGGTAACATGATAGTCTGGAATAAAATTGTGCAAGGATAGCATGAAGCAGGAAAAGAGCTGGGCCTAAAACTGAGCCTTGAAGAATTCCAGTGTCAGTAGTCAAATGAGATGTTTGACCATTAAGAGCCAGGAAAAGGAGCAGATAAGACACAGCCAGATATAGGAGGTGGCCGTCAAGTAATAGCCAAATAAAAGGCGTTTTCAAGCTTCTGGTTATGTGATGCCCAGAACTGTTGCAACTTGTGTGACTCTTTATAATGAGTGAATGAATGAATGAGTGAAAGAATGAATGAAGCATTTTCAGTCAATGACTCTGTGTTAAAATCAGCCAGAGAGCGTTGTTTATTTATATATTCAATCCAGCCAGTTATTTCCAGGATATCTGGTTTAACTTTAATTCTGTTGAATGTATTCATATCCCACTCCTTCCAAGAAGGACGCAGGGTGGCTGATAACTGGTAAACCTTCTGGAGAACTTTCTATGTTTTCAGGTTTTTTTGTATTGTACCCAATTAAAAACAAACAAACAAACAAACAAACTTCTCACTGTTGTCCACAAGATGGAGCTATTAGAGTGACTTTTCTCAATCTCATTATCCAGCATAATTACCAACATATTTATGGGCAATTCTTTTTAATTTTTTAAATTATATTTTATTCTTTATGGTATTAAAGTTGTCCCAAATTTTCCCCCTTTGCCCCCTCCACCCAGCCCCCACCACTCCCTCAGGCCATTCACCCACCATTGTCCATGTCCTTGGGTCCTGCGTATATATTCTTTGGCTACTCTATTCCTTATGGTGGACTTTACATCCCCATGATTATTCTGTAACTACTAACTTGTACTTCTTAATCCCTTCACCTTTTTCACCCATTCCCCAACCCTCCTCCCATCACACTACCATCAAAACATTCTCTGTATCTATGATTCTATTTCTCTTCTGATTATTTTGTTTGTTAGATTCAATTGGTGATAGATACATGTATTTATTGCCATTTTACTGTTCATATTTTGATCTTATTCTTCTTAAAGGAGACCCTTTAACATTTCATATAATACTGGTTTGGTGATGATGAACTCCCTTAATTTTTTTGTCTGGGAAGCTCTTTATCTGCCCTTCAATTCTAAATGAGCTTTGCTGGGGAGAGTAATCTTGGTTGTAGTTCTTTGTTTTTCATTACTTTGAATATTTCTTGCTCATCCCTTCTGGCCTTCAGGAATCAGCTGACAGTTTTATGGGGGCTCCCCTGTTGGTAACTGACTGCCTTTCTCTTGCTGCTTTTAATATTCTGTCTCTATATTTAATCTTTCGCATTTTAATTTTGTGTCTTGGATCCATCTTATTTGTGACTCTCTGTGCTTCATGGACTTGTATGTCTATTTCCTTCACCAAGTTAGGGGATTTTTCTCTATTTTTTTCAAATAGGTTTTCAATTTCTTTCTCCTCTCCTGGCACCCCTATGATTTGAACATTGGTATGTTTGAAGTTGTTTCAGAGGCTTCTTACATTATCCTTATTTTTTTTTAATTCATTTTTCTTCTTGATCTTCTGATTGATCATTTTTTTTCTTCCTTATGTTCCAAATC